CACACACACACACACACACACACACACACACACACACACACGCACACGCGCCCCGCCCCCCCCCCCCGCCCCCCCCCCCCCCCCCCCCCCCCCCCCCCCCCCGACTCCAAGATCGCGAAGCCGATGTAGTCGTCGATGTAGAGCATGAGGATCAGAGAGGCTTTCTCGAAGGACGGGGTCGGCCGACCGTGCGCCAGATCCTCTATCTCGTAGCCCTGCACGTCTCTGAGGCTCTCGGTGAGGCAGGAGCGGGCCAAGAACACAGCCCAAGAATGACCCATCACGGGAGCGATGGCTCCAACACCCACGCTCGTCGGCGAGGGCCCCTCGATCGCCCCCCCCCCCCCCCCCGCTTCGTAAGTATACGTCCGCAGCTCCATTGGGGGGAGACCCTCCAGCACAATATTTCGCTAACTTCTTGTTCCACCTCAGCCTGTAAAACCAATCTGGAATGTCCCCCGCGAACGAGAACAGCTCCTTCGTGCCTAGAACGTCGGGAGACAAATCCAACGAGTTCAGCGCACTCGGCGACCCCAGTCCCGTCCACGATGGCTTCCGAAACTTCAAGTTGAGACGCCTGCAGTCCCAAAAGACCGCGATGACTCCACCTGACACCCGTCGTCATTGCTCAGTTTCTTCACGGCCGTGAACACGCCCACGCGCTCCTCGATGCTGTCGACGTACGCCAGCATCCCCCCCCCCCCCCCCCCCCCCGTTCCCACATGCGCAGGCCCAGCTCCAGGCGGTTCCTCTTGTGCTTCCATCCTGGGTCGCAGAAGCTCCGCGTCTGGCGGCGCCTGTCCCAATCAATCTCGTCGTCCGCCCTCAGCATTAGGCCTGTCGCGTTCTCGAGGTAGGGGGTAGCTCCCGCCGACAGCTTCGATATATGCACGCCCGTGGTCCCACGCATTGGGACAGACACCTGCTCCGCCACTAGGTCGCACAGGTCGCCCTTCTTCAATTGCCCCGCTGCCCGCGCCGTCCGTCCGACACCACCGCAGTCCATCATCCTGCCCATGCCCAGGCGGCCGGGAACCGCCCTGCCATCGCCCATGCTTCCCCAGTCGGCTCGCTGCGCCAACTTCGACCAGAGCTCGTTGATGATCGTTCTCTGCGTCGGGGTCGCACTCGCCCAGGTCGATAGCGGCTCTCGGCGGCTCAGCTCGTCCACTGCCTTGCAGCGCCCTCGAGCCAGAGACCGTATAGCCGCCGTCGCCCTCGCAAGTCCCCTCCGCGTCAACCTCCGCCCCCTCTCCGTCAGGCGAGGGCCCATCGCCGAGTAGGGGGGCGTCGGCAGATCTCGCAGGGGATCCCGTTGGCGCCCCCCAGAGGGAGCCCCAGCAGTCTGGAAGCACTCGGACATATAGTCCACGATGAGAGGTGCCCTCAGTCTGGCACAGCTGCGCCCCGATATGCAAGTGGAGCAAAACCACTAGGACGCAACCGATCACACGTGCCGAACCGCGACCCACAGCGCTACAGCCCCAACCCCTCGTAGCCGCCGAGGACCGCCCGAACCGCTGGACGATCAAGCTACGCGGACTTATGCACTTGGCGCTGGCTTGGCAAGAGGTCGCCGCAAAACCTCCTGCCGCAGCCTATCGGCCCGCATGGCCACGACCGCTGCCCTCGCCGAGTCCGCCGAGGGGCTTGGCGATCGCGGCCTTCCGCTTGAGACGCTCCGCCACCTCGTCGTCGGAGGCTAAAACTCCAAGGGTGCCCTGCTCGCCCGGGCCCAAGAACTCCTCCGCATACGACCAGTTGACCTTGGACTTCCACTTCCCACCGTTGGCAGACTTGGGGCGTCGCCAATCGGACTCCTGCTCCACCAGCTCGTAGGTTTTGAAGATCGAGTACAGCCGCAGGCAGGTGAGCTCCGCGGCCTGCGAATTGATCAAAGAGTCCAACTCGCCCGCCGCCATCATCCGATCCAGCACCGCGCCCAGCATGTACACCTCTGAGGCGATCGAGCACTTGGCGAGTTCCTTCTGCCTGAGCCGGTCGACGAGCTCCGCCCGAGCACCGGGGCCTGACCTGTACAGGCGCGAGAGGACGCTCGGCGCAACCCGAGCCTGCGCGCCTCCCACTCTGCCTCCGTCCACCTCGCGGTACGACTTCGAAGTTGCGAGGTGGCCGTCCTTTAGGCTGCGCGACTCGATCTCCAACTGCGCCGCGGTGTCTCGCACCCCTGGTAATCCAGCCGAGACCCTGTCCCAGCTCTCAGGCGCAGAAGAGGCAGAGGTGGGCGCACTTCCCCTGGTGGCGCGCCCCGAGCCCTCGGCCACGACGCGCTCATGCTCCTGCAGCTTCTTCAAGAAGGCGTCCACCTGCGCGTCCGTGGGCTCATCGGGCGGCGGCTCCTCGGCGTCGCTCTCGAAGTGGAGGCGCCTGCCCGACTGCACCGGCGTCGTCGGCTCAGGCGGCGGGGGCGCCGCCTTCCCTGCCACTGCCTCGGCCAGGGAGGCGACGCTGGCCTGGAGGGCGGACTGCCCCCTCGCAAGCTCCGCGTAGAGGTGCCTCGCGCCAGGCTCGTCGTCCGAGTCGGGCACCTGCGTCCCCGACACAATCTCCGCGTCGGAGGCCTCGCACTCTGAGTCCGAGTCTCCCGGCCAGAACCAGCGCGCACTCCCGAACATCCAGTGCAACACGTAGGCGCCAGCCAGCACACAGCCGACGGTCGTGACGAGCGTCTCGAGCTCCCCACTCCCACATCTCCTCGGCCATCTCGTAGTACTGCCCAGCCTCATGGGCCGCTTCACTCGCGAAGAGCATCGTGTCGTAGACCGACTTGAGCGCGGAGCCCAAGCCGAGGACGCGCCAGGCGCGCCAGCCCAAGAAGGCTGCCGCCACGCAGAGCCCCCCCGAGCGGCGCAGCCACATGAAGCTCACCGTGTTGAAGACGCCCCCGACGACCCACGTCACGAAGTGGTCCTTCTCCCCTGCCTTTTTGCCCTTCGGCGTCGGCTTCGCCTTCGGGGGGGGCCTTGTGGGCGCTCCCCTCGGACTCGAGCTCCCGCCTGGCGATGAGTTCCTCCGAGGCCGCCAGCACGAGGTCCCTCGAGGCCGCGCTCAGCCCAGGGTGCTCTGTCCACTGTATCCCCGCCTTGAACTTCGTGAAGACCCGATCCTTGTCCCTGACGTTCACGACCTGGACGCGCAGCGTCGGGTCCGCGCACGTCCAGACCGTGCTGTTCGACCTCCCCACCTTGCTGATGAGGAGCATCACGCTACCCGAGTTGATGCCCGTCTTCTGGTAGATCCTGTTCCACCTCGCCCACGGCGCCATGACGACCGCCGCCTTGGTCCCTGGGATCACGATCTCGTCAGCGTCCTCGTAGTCCCCGCCGTACGGCACGAACTGCTCGTCGGCCTCGTCTCCCCAGGTGAGCGGACGGCCCTCGTCGGCGAGGTCGGGCGCGATCCAGCCGACCGCGCAGGCCCCGAGGTACCACCAAGCTCTCGTGGTGGCAAAATGGCGGCCCCCCACGCGGGATGGCCAGGCCGTCGGGCGACGCCCGACACGTGCAATCTGTCAAAACGGAACGGCTCCGCAGAAGGTCCCTGGGGACCTCAACCGCATGGAACCGAAATCTTGAGGACGGCAGAGCCGAAGGAGGATAGAAGGACGAGGACGAGGAAGGACAAGAGAGGACGGCACGAGGGGGGGCAACTAGCAGTATAAAAGAGCGTTATAATAACATTCAGACTGCGGACCAAAAGTTGCTGCGCATTCGTGATGCGAACGCATTGCGATGTGCTGCGGCCCGCGCCTTTCATGGAAGCGCTGCAACTTGTGTGCACCCTGGGGGTCAGAGTTATTGGATGGGCAGGAGTGGGAGGCGACAGGGGAGACCGAGATGGGAGAACAAGCCTGTATTGCATTACTGAGTTGTTTCGCGCTTGTCACTGCCAGTATCAGTTTGCTCTGTTGCGTTGTTACCTGCGGTTCTGGTCAATAGTAGTTTCTTGTGCTGGCGACATGTCGCCCCACCGCTCCCTATCTAATAGAGAGGATGCACCTCTGACCCACCCACAGGCGCATACAAACTGCAACGCCAGACTGCGGTACGACCGACGAGATACGAAATCGCACAAAAAGGGCCTGTGAGCAGGCGGGTGGGGCGCCCAGGAACGCATTCCGATGTCGATCGCAGAAGCGGAGATCCCTCCACAACGAGTTGGCGGGCCGGTGCACCCCAAACTCACGTGAAGCAGACAGGCCACGACTATAACGTAAAATCGCGTGGTGCCGAAAGGAAGAAAAGATGACAGAAAGAGGAGAAGGAGGCGGAAGAGAAGGAGAGGAGAGGAGAGGAGGACTGGAGGAAGTATGCGGAACGAGGAGGAGGAGGAGGAGGAGAAGGAGGAGGAGGAGAGAAGGCGGAGGGAAGAGGGGAAAAGAGGGGAGATGGGAGGAGAGCAGGAATGAGGGAGGAGGTGGGAGGAGGTACCCAACGTCCCTTCTCTGGCGGCTCCAGAAGCCCCCAGAAGCCACCCTGGCGACCCCCCAAAACCAAAAATACAATCTAAAAGCCTCGATCCTCGAACCTCCATTCTCTAGGGAGGTACGGTAGGTTCACGTCGCGATGACGTCGACGTTGGTTTCTGCCACCGGATCGTTGAACCTTGAAAGGTCAAAGCGTTCCCATGGCGCCACCCAAATTGTTCACTGCCAATCGATTTCAGGCCACTGGCGGAAATCAACCGTGCTCATCCTTGAACGCCCGCGCTGGGGTCACCGCCGCGTCAGTGCGGCGCCAATCTACATTTTCTAAGGGAAAGGACTCCAACTGTACATCCACATCGATCCTGGTCAGGACATGTATACGCCCCCCCCCCGGCTTGGCCAGGGAGGCATGTACACCGATCTGGAGCCGAAGGTTGGCCTGGCCAGAATCGGTTTAGAAGCGCAGTGGACGTCATCCGAAAACGAGACCTCGCCCGACACGCCATGGCTACAAGCCTCACAAAAGGCGCACTCGCCCGGCCCGTCCGGTCTCCAGCGCATCGCGCCGCCGCACGCGGAATACGCCCCGCAGAAACCGCCGATCCCCACAGTGGGACGATGACTACAGGGGGAGGCCCCAAATCCATCCCTGTTCCTTCTGGATAACTTCTCGTCGTCTAACCACTTGTAAGGCGGGCTGGGCGTGCTTCCTCCGCATGTACGACTTCAAAGTCCCATCCGTGTCACTGACAGGGAGAGTCCTTTTCAAAATGTGGCTCTCGCCTCAGCGACGCGCACATTATATTAAACACTTTCAACAGCTACACGGGCAGAGTGGGAGGTAGCTCGCTTGCGGCAATCGCCTTTGCGCCGCGTGCATTCCTCTTACAAGGCTTGAACACTTACACGAATGGGGGGCGATTATTGTTCAAGATGTGTCTCTCTCCTTGGCGTCGCGCTCACTCCGATTTCAGTGACCAGAAATTACACGGATGAAACGCAGTTCCTTCTCGAAAAGCAGATCTCGTCATAGCGCCGCGCAAATTCACCTCAAAAGAGATGCTCCTAGCAGTCAGATGTACAGGGGAGGGGAGGCAGTGGCGATCTTCAAAATGCGGCTCTCGCCTCTGCGCCTGGTACACTCGCCGCAAAATGTTCCAGCAGTTACACGGGAGGCGGCGCTTACTCAAAATGTGACTCTCTCAACAGCACCGCGCACATTTCACAGAAAAGCGAGCAACAATTACGCGGACAAAGGGCGGTTTCTTTTCAAACAGGCGGCTTGGCCGTAGCGCCACGCACATACGCCGAAGGGGGGGGGCGGTTTCGAAATGTTGCTATCGCCGTATCGCCATGCACATTCATCTAAAAACATCCAACTGCTCCAAACTGTTCTTCTGGAAGGCGTCTCCTCTTCAACTCGGAAAGTTCTGTTGAGCCGTTCCTGCTCCTTCTAAGCAGAAGTTGAACCGGTGCCACACCTAATTACGCGGACAGAGGAAGGCTCCGTTTCACATCGAGGCTCTTAGTTAGGTGTTCTGATCAAGTGCTTCAAAGTGTGCAACTGTGCACGGATCGAGAGCGGCGCAGTTCAAAGCGGGCCTTCGCTGCACACTTCCTTGGACGGTCAGACAACACCTCGTCGCTATAGGTATGTATTGAAACATGCATGGCATCGCCTTGTCAAAACGGGGTGCTCGCCATTGCAGGACAATGGGCCGCTCGTTTCAAGGGAATAATTCCTGCAATGAAGAGATCACGGTTGTGTGGGACTTGTAAGTCGGGGGCTTGGGACGGGTAGGACGGGTAGGCGTATTGCAGCATCATTGATGCATCTTGGGTTTACTGTAATCCTCCTCAACCTCCTGGCCATCCTCCTACCCGTCCTGCCTCCTTCTCCTCCTCCTCACCGCCATCCTCCATACAATGGCCCTGGGTGCAACTGTCGGCCGTTCGCACTCTGGTGCCCTGTTATGCACTGTCGTGCCCTATACGTGGTGCCCTTTGGTTGGTGCTTGGTGCTCTGGCGACCATGTTCGGCCGGCTGAGCTTGGTGGTGCCCTTTTGAAGCCCATGGTGCCGTGTGGCTGGTGCTCTTGGGCCGTCAGGGGGCCATCTTGGAGACCCCTTGGGCGCTGTGGGGGCGATCTTGGGCCTCTTGGGCCGTCTTGGGTCGTCGGAGCGCCGAAAAGGAGCAAATGCCCAAATCCTTCAAAAACCTATGGAAATCCATGAGTTTGGTCTCTTCGGGCCCTCCTGGAGGACCTCTTGGAGGCCTCTTGGGCCGTCTTGGAGGCCTCTTGGGAGCCCCTTGGGCTGTTTTGGGCCATCTCGAGGCCATCTGTGGCCGTCTTGGGTGCATCTTGGGCCGTCTTGGAGGCATCTTGGGGCCACGTTAGCCTCTAGTGCCTTCTGGTTGGTGCCCTATGGCTTGCACCATGTGGCTTGCACATCGGGAGTGCAATAACTTACTCTTTTGGATTCGTACGCTAACATCATACTCGTCATACGCTAACATCATACTCGTTCAGCCCCTTCTGCGGGCTCCAGGGACCCTCCAGGGACCTCCAATCACCTAACTTCCTGCATGGCGCCGCGCGACGCGCGAAAAGCGGTGAATTACCTCCGGGCCAGACAAAAACACGTTTACCGCCTGTTCCGCGAAACGCGCAGAGCGAGCATCTCCGAGCCTTTGCGAGTGGCCTGGGCTGACCGAGAGTGGCGAGAGACGGCGGAGTAGAGGAGAAGGATGGGGAGAGGGCGTTGAGGAGCACTCCCTCATGTGCGCGGCAACCCCCTCGTCTCCCTCGGGGCGATTCCTGCCGTGGCGACCAGGGGCCCGTGGGGGCCTCAGGGGAACGGAGGCGAGAGACGGGCAGATGCATCGAAGCCTCTATTCCTCTTCCGACCTCCGCCTCGCTGGGTTCTCGTTGCCGCGCAGCGTTCTCGATATGAAGAGGGCCTCGCCCTCCTCGAACCCGCAGGCCTTGCAGCGGGGGGAGGGGGGGCAAAGCCGCAAGAGCAGAGGGGTATGCACGCCGAGCTCCGTGCGCAGACAGCGGGGGCCTCTTCCAGGGGCCTGAGCGCTCCCTTCCCACTCCCCTGGGATGACAACAGGTTGCGAGCGCACTGGGCACACACACACACACAACTCAGGGATTTCTGAAGGACAGCGAATCCAGAAGATGTGTGCGGACCCGCGGCAAGAACGCATTGAAACCGCCCTGAGAAGGCCCGGAACGAATCGTTCGTATCCTGGAGCTGCCTCGCTCCTCATCCTCATCCTTCCCCTTCGACTGCTCCTCCCTCCTCCTCCATTGCAGTTTGCCTTACGTGGCGTGATCTCGCTTTGCAGCACGGAACCTTGATCTGGAGTAGTTTGCTTTGCTTGCTTTGCTCGGCTTCGCTTGAATTGTGAAGTGGTTGGCTTCGTATTGCAGCACAGGGCCATACTTCGCAACACCCCTGGATTGTTTTGCATTGCGTTGCAGCGCATTGCAGTGCATTGCAGTAGACAACAATGTCACGCGTGGCAAATGAGGTACCACGCACGGCATCACACGGCAACACATTGAAAAAGGCAATGCTAAGCATCGAAACGCAACGCGCCGCGAAATCCATGAAACGCAGCTCGGTGCCTCACAATACAAATCAACGCGTTGCCAACCAACTTGGGCACAGTTTAGCAATGCGATGCGTTGGCGATGCAAAGCAAATCGCTGCACTTCACTCCAATTTCGCCGAGCACGGTAAGACAGTTGAAATCAGCGCAGCCCCATACATTACGACGCAAAACAGCTCGGTGCCCTGCAATTCAATGCCAAGTGAACTTTGGCGGCATGTCAGGTCAATCTAAGGCAATGTAAACGAAGAAACGAAAACATGCAATGCAGCACGACACCGATGCGCTGAAACGCAAGTGCATGCGCAGAAATCCGCTGCGGCGAAAAGCAAGGCCAACCAACGACATGCATCGTGTTGCAAATCAGGGGGCCTTGTGACTTATGATGCTGTTTGTGCCCTGGCAAAAAGGAGCCCCTTGAGGGCCAAACGGCAGCAGGCAGAGCGCGCGCGTGTCATGCACACACGCACCACATCACACCCGTGAAACATTGGCACGAGCTGACCAGCTGGGCGCGGCATATCGCGCTCACAGACGCGCAGGCCGTCAAGAGGCACCAGGTGGCAGCAAAGGCGTCCCCGAGAGGGAAGACGTCAAAGGAGGCCGACTGGCCAGTACCACCTTCTAGGTAGGACGGCGTTCACTCACTGCTGCCGGGATACTTCTCATTACGGATATGACTTATCCGCTGTAGTAGTGTTCATTCAGTCTGGCCCTCGCCAGCTGCTTCTTTATTTTCCTCACCGTCGACGCCAGGCCTGGAGTTAGATCATGCGTTCCAACATGCACAACGGTTGTTTGTTTATGACATTCGATTTTTATTACATGGGATATTCATTCTACCTGGTCGTAAACTAAGAGAAATCGCATCTCCCGCGCGCGCTGGAATACATGCGATTAAAACAAAAACATACATCCGATGACTCATCAAACAAAATGCACCCGTCCGCGGACGATGACGCATCGCGCGGTCGCTCACTGCATCCGATGACAACTTGCGCGCGCGCACCAGAATACAGATCACTTTAAAAACAAAAAATAGGGACAGGCAAAAAGGGCCAATGGGAAACGGCCAAGGGGCCGCTCGACAACCGCCGAATAATCAAAAAACAATCGGAAACGGTCAAGGGCGCCGCCTGACAACCGCCGAATAATCAAAAACCAAGACGAAACGGCTAAGGGTGCCGCGCGAAAACCGCATAATAACCAAACCAACATTGGAAACGGCCACGGGCGCCGCCCGGCAACCGCCAAAATAATCAAAAACAAACAGGAAACGGCCAGGGGGCAGCCCGACGACCGCCAAATAATCAAAAGTCAATTCGAAACGGCCAGAAGGGCGCGGCCCTACAACCGCCGAGTTAACAATTACTCGACGCGGGGCTCCCGACATGTGCATCTCATTCTCTTGGTACGCCTTTTCTCTTGTTATCTGCCAATGAGCGCCTGTGTGCGAGGGCGAACCGCTCGCTCGAGACATTCCCACTGTCTGCAAGCATGAGTGCGACCAATAGCAAATCTGAGAGCGACTGATTCTGAGTGCGAGTTAATATGGGTGCGATTGAGCCTGGGTTTGAGCGGGTATGCGTGTGAGTAACTATGAGCGCGAGTGCGTCTGTGTGCGAGTGGGTATGAGTATGGACGAATCTGAGTGTGAGCCAGTCTGTGACTGAGCGGATCGTAGCATGATGAGTCTGAGCATGAGTGAGTCTGGGCTGGAGTGGGTCTGAGTGTGAGAAAAAGTGTGTGCTAATGAACCTGAGTGCGAGTGAGCCGAGTGTGATTGGGTATGGTTGTGAGGAAGTCTGAGTGTGAGTCGGTCTGCGTTGGAGCGGACCGAAGGATGATGAGCCTGAGCAGGAGCGAGTCTGAGTATGAGTGGTTCTGAGCGTGAGTCTGAGTGTGAGTAAATTTAAATATGGATATGAGCGAGTCTAAGTGCGAGTGAGGCTGCGCGTGACTGAGTCCGAGTATGAGTGAGTATGAATGCAGAAGAGCGA